AGGCTAGAGGCTTAGGCAGGAGGATCATGTGTTCAGGGTCTGCATGTGTTATGTAGTGAGACCCTGTCTCCAACCTTCCCTACACTTGTTAGCTCTAAAGACTCAGATAGGTTAAAAGGGCCTAAAAGGGGGTGGGGAGGCATACTACAGTTTAACTAGTCATGTGGAAGGAAGTAGGAGTCACATTGATTAATGTCAGAACAAAGAATATTAGCAGAGATAAAGAAGGTAATTTCCTAATGATAGGAGAATTAATTAATCAAGAGGACATGACACATGTGAACACTGATACGTCTAATCACAGACTCTAGCCTTCTGACATTGTGACACTGTGTCATCTCCAGAAGCCTCACTTGAGAACTGTGCAATTGACTTACAAAGAAAGAAACTGTACAAAGAAAAAAGAAAATCTCAGAATGTTTTAATAAGTTTATGATCTCATGTTGTGCTGCATTTGTAGCTGTCCCAGCCTGAGGGTTAGACACACCTGATTAGAACATTAAAGTGTGTAGAAGAGAGCTGGTGAGGTGTCTCAGTAGATGAGGGAGCTTGCTTTCAGGTCTGATGAGAACTGACTCCCACAGGATATCCTCTGACCTCCACGTGCATGCACATGCAAACACCAACCAATTGTGTATCTAGCCTGATGTATGCAGTGATGAACAAGAGTCTCAAACACAGCAAGGACTGACATCCAAGACTGTCTTCTGACCTCCACACATGTGACCCTATGAATACACATCATTCACACCTGCATGCATACACTGGCACAAAGGTTGAAAACCAGAAAAATTGGAAGAGAGCAGGTAAACACAGAAAGAAAAGCTAAACATCTGAAATCCATGAACTAGAATATATAATTGCAGTAGAAAAAAAAATCAGTGAAATCAAAAGGTGTCTTTGGAGGCTAGAGAGACCATTCAACCTTCAGAGCTTGCAGATGACCAAGGTCTCTGCTCTCTTGTTTATAGAGTGTTTGGAACAAGGGAGAAGCATCAACAGCATAGCAGTAAGAACACTAGCCTTGAGCAGAATGGGCCTAGATGGAACCATTTCTATCATTGGTCATCTTGAGCAAGGGCTGTTCTGTACCTTCCATCTATCTGCTAGGGACAGTGTGCTAAGGCTTGTACGTAGGTGTCGCATGTATGCTGACCAGCACAGTGCTGGTCACGGCAGGTTGTGATGCATATGTTGACCAGTTTTTGACATGACAGGTCTCATTTGATGCTTTAAGGTTTTTTTTTCTATTTTGAAATTATTTTTATTGCCAAATATAGTGTCTATTTATTGTGTTAAATATGAGGTTTTAAATATGAATATTCTGTAGAGTAGCTAAATTGAGCAAACTTCTTAGTCTTCACTAAGTCAAGTCTAAGTCTTATAACTTCCCTTGTTATTACTATGTTGTTATTGTCAATTCAGTTTCTATTTACTTTGTGCATTTATATGTGTGCATATGGCAGAATATGTTTTCAAAGTTCAGGAAACAACTTGAGAGAATCAATTCTCTCCTTCCACCACATAGATCCTGGAGATTAAACTCAAGACTGGGAGCTTGACAGCAAACACTTTTACCTGCTGAGCCGTCTTGCCCACTCTGTTGTTATTTTTGAGGCACAGACTCGCTGTGTATAGTACATTCTAGCCTCCAATGCTCAGTTCTCCTGCCTCCACTTTCTAAGTGCTGGGATTGCTGGTATGCATCACTTGGCCCATCGTTGTCACCATCATTGCTCTTGGATTCAATCTATTTCTGAGTGTGTGTGTGAGTATGTGTGTGTGTATACACGAGTGCGAATGCTGTAGACATGAGGTGACAGAGTGGTCAGGGGACTCTGAATAGCCTGCATAGCATGAGGCACCAAATGCAAAAGCAATAAGCAGCTTGTCTTGTTTGTTTCTATTTTGTTGGCTTTTCCTCCCCAGGTGGACAATCAGCTCATTGGTACTACTCAGCCCTTCATGCTCTATGTGACCCCACTGAGCAATGAGAACGAGGTCATTGAGACAGGTCCTGCTGTACAAGTCAATGCAGTGAAGTTCCCCAGTAAGAGCGCGCTGACCAACATCTACAAGGTGGGCTGGCAGGGAGGCTGGGGACAATGGCATGTAGGAGGCACACTTGCTCTCTCACGGCCAGACCACAGAGTAAGCAGCAGCACACTGTGTGCACAAAGGTGACTCTCAGGGCAGAGCCACATGTGGCTTTTGTTTGACCATTGAGAGAAATGTTCAGAGCACCTTTTCTTGGCATCCTGTATCTTCAGTTGTATTGTCAGCAACCTTGGTAGTGTTGAACCCAGGGAGGCCAGAGGCATCATTCCTGAGTGAAGCAGTATCTTGCAGGCTGCTGTGGTCTGTTACTGAGTGTTGAGTAGTCCAGAGATAATTCTGGAGAGCTATGTGGAGTCTGTCCTTGGAATAATGTACTAAGTAAGCTGCCATGAGTACACTAACAGCAGAGAGTTAAAAGTAAGGAAGCTTTCTGACCTGGGGGTTCCCAAAGCAGAAGATGGCTGTGATAGCAGCAAGCTGTAAAAGCCAGAACCCTCCTTCTAGTCCTTTGTCACCAGTGCTGATGGGAGCAGGCCAACCTGCACCTTTACCACAAATCCAGTCATGTAGTTTCTGCTCACTGGTGAAGCCCTAGGGATCCAGCAAGGTGGCAAAATGTCCACTGAACACCTGGAATTCTGTCACTCTAACAAGCAAAGAGAGGTGAGCTGCAAGTCATTTATCATTAGATCACACAGGTAAAGAAACCATGAGACAGGCTCTTGCTTTGCTGCCCAGACTGATCTGGAACTGCTGGGCTCAAGCAAGCCTCCTGCCTCTGCCTTCCTCCATAGCAGAAACTATAGTGTCTGCCTGCCCACCTCACTGGGACCTGCTTCATGGCACAAATGAAAGCTGCTTTGATGCTTGAATGTAAACCAGACTTTCTTTCTCTCTAGCACCTGATGGTCACGGCTCAGAGGTTCACAGTACAAATTGAGGAGAAACTGCTACTCAAGCTACTAAGTTTCTTTGGCTACGATCAGGCAGAATCAGGTAAAGCTGATCACTCGACACATCTGCCTGAGATTGGCCCACAAAAATGTGTTACTCTGTTTGTAAAACACAGGTAGTCCCTAGACACCAACAAAGCTGGCTCTCTGCCTCCCAGTCTGAGCTAGCAGGCTCAGGTTTGGGGTTTAGCAGCTCCTTTCCCAAAATTGCTTGTTATCTGAGTTATGTCTAGGAACTAGGCTGGCCTGAGAGGATCTTGGCATCCTGGAATGTCCAATGGCTAGACTTTGCAAGTTCTGTCCCTCTGTTCTCATGGAACGGAATGATGGCCATCCTTTAGCAGGCTACTTTGTTATGAAACCAGCTCAGGGCCAAGAGTCAGAAATGCCTTTTTCGCAGTTGCTTTGGTTTAGTTTGAAAAACAAAACTGGCTAACCACAATTATTAATTTTTAACGTCTGTACCCTTGTACTTTAATGTCATTACAAAGGTTTCTTGTTGCTGTCCTTTGGCCTTTGGAAAGGAAGTCAGATCACTATCAGAAAGCCTGAGCTTCTTGCAAAGCTGGAGGGAGAGTTCAGCTGTTGTCTCTCTAGCCTCCTCATCACAGCCCCTTCTGCTGTCAGATGGCTCCAGCTAAGAAAGAAGTCAATGATGCACATCAACCTTTTTCAAAGATTGATTTTGTGTGCATGTGTGTATAAGTGTCTTCCCTGTGTGTATGGGTACCTGTGGAGACCGGAGAGGGCTCAGATCCCTTGGAGTTATAGGTAATTGTGAGCTGGCCTGATTTGGCTGCTGAGAACTGAACCAGTTCCTCTAGAAGAGCAGTAAGCACTCTTAACTGCTGAGTTATCTTTCTAGCCACTTGGCTAGTTTTTTATGTTTTGAGACAGTCAGTCTTTGTAGTTCATGGTCAAGCTCATGATCTTACATCCTTTAGCCTGTTACTGGCTGCATTTGTCCACCATGTTGGCTAGAGGGAAAATGCGTATACATACCCACAATGCAAGAAAAATATTTTTGTCTTTATAATATAGATTTAGAATTGAGCTTTAAATCTTTAGCATCATATCAAATAAAATGGGATTAACCTTTCAGAGTATTTAGGATTGTCTAGGGATTTTGCTCAGTGCTACTACCTACAGGTAGCATGCATGGGGTACTTGGCTCTGTCCTTAGTACCTCAAAAAGAAAGAAAGTAAAAAAGAGAAGGAGACAACTATTTGGCATGAAGAAGAAGCCCTGTCTGAATAGTCCTGTGCTTTGCACTTTGGCTCCGGCTCCAGTTTATTTGGAGTTACACAGCCACCTGAGGGCCCAACATCCAGGCAGGTGTTCTGTTTGGCTCCTTCCAAATAAGATTCACTTCAGGTTTCATGGGTCATGTTTTTCTTGTAAATCCCTCTTAGAACTTTTTAAAAGCCTTGCACAGAGAAACTTAGACTTTTGGGAAGACCTTGTCTGCAGGTCATTACTCTATCTCTACTTTCAGTAGCCCGTTGACTGTGGAAGGCAGGTCTCCTTTAGAGCACCCTTCAACTTTGAGTAGAACTGATGGCAGCTCCAACTGGGAATGTGCAAGGTAGCTGTGAGCATTCTCTCTGGTTTTCCTTTGGAGGCATCAGAAGCCAATGGGAATGGACATGTGGATCCTCCCATGTAAGGACTGAATTGCTTTTCTAGCCCATGTCCCTCCTTTGTACTCATGGACTGGCAATTAGAAACTCTTCCTCAATTATCCTGCTTCTGAGACTTGCCCTGCTCGGGAGGATGCTGTGCCAGCACTTTCTTAGGAACTGTTCTTATTCCTCATAGTGTTATTTATGTTGTGAGTGTCTTTTTTGGCTCAGTTGTACTGCACTCTAGATTCATATGACCTAGATCATGGGTACTTGTAATGACAGCAATAGTTCTGGAAAGTCTGTGGCCAGCAAATGAACCTGTGACTTTTGGCTTTCTTTCTTTTTTTATTTTTTATTTTTTATTAATGTTTCCCCTGACAGTATAAGGCAAACACTTAAGTTTGCCTGAGTTTTAAAAGGTTATTTCCTTTGCCCCACTTGAATGGCCAATGAAGATATTAAATCGACTTTTGGCTTTCTAAGATACTATCTGCTGGGTGGCTCAGAGTCACAGGTTAACAGATGAAGCTAACCTACCTTTGTATAACCAATGTAACAGTCTACTTTTATATAGAAATGGTATCTGCATATTGTATGCATTGCTGAGTCCACAAAGAAACTAAGAAAGTGAGAAGACTACATTTTGTTTGTATAGGTTTTTAGGTGAGGTCACACATGTTTGAATCATGATGCCAACAGCTTTCTGTTTTGTTTTCTTACTTATGCCTTTGGATCAGAGGTGGAAAAGTATGATGAAAACATCCATGAGAAGACAACAGAGCAGGGGGGAACTCCAACTCGATACTACTTTGAGAACCTCAAGATTAGCATTCCCCAGATCAAGCTCAGTGTGTTCACCTCCAACAAGCTGCCGCTGGACCTTAAGGTGAGCTTGCAGCTGGCACACTCTCCATGGGAGTGTATGTTGATTGTTCATTATCTCTGTCTGGAATTATCACCCAGTGCATTTATTTCCTTTTATACGTGTTCATAACTTGTATAATACTCTTTTTGTCTTATGTTTGGACATAACTTTGCTGAAGATCAAGATATTACCAAAAAGGATAAAACTGGATGATAAAACACTCATCTGTTCTTTGGATGGCTCTAGATTTACCTCAGAGCAGTAGAAACCTTTTTTCTGGGCTTAGTCCTGGTCTTAGGAACTGAAACCAAAACAGCCTTTCTTTTGACCCACTGCCCAGATCTCTCTTGCTGTCTTCTAAGTATCTATTTACACTAGGAAGGTCTGCCACTTTTGAAGGAGATTCAACTATAAGCTTGCTGGGATGTGGCCTTGTACAGCTTCAGGACATATCCCTCCTATTAACCATCTTGATCCACAGGTGACCAGTACAGCCTTAGCAACACCTTCATTGTTAATAACAAGGCATATTTTAAGGAAGGGAGCAGGCTTACATTCAAATCCAAGTCTGTCATGTCTGGGTTCTGCACTGCAGTATACTGTGCTGCCCGCTGGCACATAGATGAAGCTGTCATTAGACTGGGTGTCCTCAATGGTGTCCTTGCTTGGTAGGTGGGGAGACTAAAGCTCATGGTCTTATTTCTTCAGCCTGGTTAGTAGCAAGGTGCTGCTGGAAGCAGGAGCAGGGTCAGGTGCTTGTTGAAATGTCTTGCCTTACTCTGACTCCTAAGTCTGCCTCAGACTGGCAGCCATTGTTTCTGGTTCTCCCCTGTGCTGTGCTTAAAGACAGTTGTCCGTCCCTCCCTCTTCCCATTGACTATGCACTTTCCCCCTCCTTCCTTCTCTCAGAAGATTCAGGATGGCCTCGCCCTCTCTCCACAGAAGAATATCTAGATAGGCGAAATGAGTTGTGATCCTGCAGTGCTGGGCTCAGATGCCCACGCCAGTTCAGCTTCAAGGCTAGCCTGGAGGTGCAGAGGACCTTTATTTAGTCCAGTGCATAGCCACATGAGGAGTGTCAGCACAGCCCCACTGCAGCACATTGCTGCACTGGGGGAGTGTGACCCAGGTTTTTAAAGAGAAGCTTCAATCTGCATTTTTATATGGACTTTCCTAGTTTTTAAATGTTGGCAACCAATTCACATTAAAAAAAAAAAAAAAAGAAAAGAAAAGAAAAACCTAGCCTTGTGGGCGTGACAGAACACATGTGTGGTCCTCATGTGCCACAGCCTGCCAACTCCTAAAATAGACCTATAGGTGATGAGACAGCTCTCTGCTCAGCCTCAGCCTCAGCCTCTAGCTAAGGCTATGATAAGGGTGATGGCTTCAGTGAATGCAGACAAAGAAGGGCCAGCTGGGGCCAGGGGCAGCATCTTGAGAATAGAAGTACAGTACCCTTCTCCCTTCACCACTTTGCTGCTCAATCTGCCCTAATGTTGTAGTTCCCAGGAGGCTGAACATACTTACAATTAGCCTGGGAGTGCGGGGAAAACCATGGGAAAACTACTGTCTTGCTAATATCCACAAGTATCCACTTGACTTATGTGACCTTTGGAATGGGTTTGTTTGATAAAGTCTCTTCCCCCAGAACACTTGGCTCTCACCCAGCAAGCCAATGCTAAGCATTTCCTGAAAGTGGAAGATTTCTTGATTTAAAATCATCTTGTTAAAGAGCACAGACCCCAGCATTCCTCTCACTGCTCCCAGCAGAAGTGCCTGGTCCCTAGTCCTATGGTACTGATGCCATGTACCCTCTGTAGTCCTGTGGTATCTGTCTCTGCAGTCCCATGGTGCCGATGCCATCTGCCTCGACAGCCCTGTGGTACCGATGTCATGTGTCCTCTGCAGCTCTTACTGGTGCTTGTATGTGCTCTGCTAAAGTGAACTCAGTCCTTCAGGTTGACTATCTTCCTGGTATTCTATTGAAAGAGCAATTTAGAGCACTCTTACGCAGATGCCATGACATACCTGTGTTTCAGGAGGATGTTGAGATTGGGACTTTAGAGTTGAGCTCTGGGCTTGTGGAAGTCACCATGTTACCATACCTTGAGTATTCCTCCTGGAGTCTGGGACTCCTAAGACAGTATCACTTAGTCAGAGTTTTCTAACAGAGTAACAGGCCTTTATTAGGAGCTCTTAGAAAGAGCAATATGCTCTTTTTGATGAATATGGAATCACTAAGAATATGTACTTAGGAAACGGAGCCCTCTCCCTGAGCAGCAGCCACAGGAGTCTGACTAAAAGGTAACCCTGTCTTAGAATTGAAGGAACAATTGCCTCCATTCTCTGGATTCCCATGCAGGAGAGAGGCTGTCAGAAATCTTGGGGAGGGGGGTGCCTATCCAGATTTACACTGAGGTACATTGTTGCCAGATACAGTATCTGTCTGGCGACTCAAAGTCATCCACACTGTCCAGGTGACTGGAAGCTGTCTCCATCTGCTATCTTCATTGGATTCATGACTGACAGAAGAAGGGAAACTAATATTCCATTTCACAGACATAAGAGCACAGCTGCCCCTCCCTTCTCTTTCTGTGCTCTCTGTATGGAGTTTGCATGTTAGAGATGCCATGGCATATTGAAAAGCCAGGTAGCTTTTCTATGGGGATTTCCTTGACTCCTTTAAAGATCAAAAGATACCAGGGGGTCTTTAAAAGGCTTCAAAATGTGGCCTACAGCAGGCCTTTTCCCATTTAGAGCATTGGGGTATAACAAAAGAAGGACCTTAATTGAGCAATCTAGTTTGGAAGAAAACCCACACTTTAATGGTCAGAGAGCAGGCGGGTGGGGGTAAGGGGGGATTTCAAACAAAGACACTATTTAAAAAGCCTAAAACTGTCTTCTCAAAGGCTTGAAATAATTTGTTGGGAAACTTCAGACCCTTTACTTTTTCCCTCCCTCCCTAAATAAAAACCAGATTTGTTAAAAGGAAAAAAGATCCAGTATTGTTAATTGTGTTTCAGAAAGTGCCAGAGAGGGAAGTAGCCCCCGTAGTTTTAAACACTGTCCCCAAAGGGATATAGGCAAATGCCCTGCTTCACATAAACAGTCTCTATGTGCCATAAATAAACCTTTAGAGAATGAATTCCAGACAGTTTTGTTTAGTGTGGGATAAACTAAGAAAGGAAAGGACACAGCCCAGGGACTAGCTGTGATCTGAGGCCTCGTGGACAGGTATTTCTTCTTTCAACTCAGCGCCGTCTCTGGAAGGCTTCAGCCGTTTTTTCTGGGAGGGGGGAGTAGATACTTTTCTATTTTATCAAGAACTTATGAGCACAGGGTTGCTTTCTCCAGAATCCATTTTATAACAGGAAAATGCTGCTTGAGTAAATATGTCTCAGTGCTGTGACCTCCTGTATGCAAGCAGTGGCTCAGTTCATCAGGAGGGAGCAATCCTATTAGGCATTCTTTTTCTCTCATGCCTTCTTCCATAGACCAGATCAGTCTGAAGGTGGCAGAGTAATTCATACCAACAGGCTGGCCCTGTGCCTCTGCAAATAAGGGACCCCAGACAGTAAATGACTAGGTGAAGACAGTTTCATTCCAGAGCTAGGTACTTCCTTGGTTCCAGGGTAGATGGTGCCTGTTTATGAGGGTTTGGCAGCTTGGTAAAGGTCAAAGGTCCCTGCAGCAATATACCAGACTTTTTAAATGTTTGCTCACAATGAGGAATTCGTGTTTTAGTGTTTTGTTTTTTTTAACTTCCTGGCTTAAGCTTTTGTTTCATCATACTTTTTAATCTCTTCCTATGGAGTTACATTGGTAAGATCATGACTTGACTCTTCAGTCCCTTTCATAGCATGGTTGGCCTTTGACTGTGAATAAGAAGTTTAAGCTGGCTATCAGTTTCTCTGTCACTGAAATGGGGGAAACTAGGCATGCTTTCTGATTCCATGCCTATTCTTTAGTAGGGAGCATGACTGAACAAATACAGAAGGGTTTTGAGAAGAAATAGTGGAACCCTCTGCCTTGGGTGCTATCTACCAAATAAGTAGTTGCTTTTGTAAAACTAGCACATTCAAGTCTAGGATCTGCTCATGGCTAGTCATATGACTTTAGTTGTGCAGTTAGTGTATCTTCTTCAGTCTGGGTGAGTCAGGGTAGGCTGGCCTTGAATTTAGTCTGTCTCTCAGTTCAAACACTTGTTACTTCCATCAAAGACAAAATGGGCAGAGATAAAAAGACCAATAACCTGATAGAAATCTGGCCATCATCAGTGTTTAAATCCCCCTATTGTTGGATTTAGCAATCTTCCTGTGTTGGTTTCTCAAGCACTAGAATTAAAGGGCTGTGCCACCATGCTGGCAACTCAAGGATGGTCTTAGCCCCTAAAATTCGTCCTTCTGATATTATTGGTGACATTCCAAGGTACCAGACCAGAGCTCTCTCCCTCTCTTCAGCTCCTCTGGTCTGGTCGGTATTTATTTGACTGTATCTTCTGTTTGGTATTTATTTAACTGTGTGTCCATGCCATGTAGCTTCTGCACTCCTTCATCTACTGTTGCTTCTTCGTCCTTTTTTTTTTCTTGGTGTTTTTTTGTTCTTCATGTTGAGTGCCAGGTTTCAC